CCCAGGCTGGAGTGCAATGGTGTGATCTCAGCTCACTGCAACCTCTGCCTCCCGGGTTTAGGTGATTCTCCTGCCTCAGCCTCCTAAGTAGGTGGAATTACAGGCGCCTGCCACCATGCCTGGCTAAGTTTTGTATTTTTATTAGAGACAGGGTTTTGCCTTGTTGTCCAGGCTGGTCTTGAACTGACCTCAGCTGATCCACACGCCTCAGCCTCCCAAAGTGCTGGGATTGCAGGCGTAAGCCACCGCGCCCAGCCTCCTAAGACATTCTTAACTGGTTTTTAGAACCTCCTGTAACATTTACTCACTCAACTAGACTTTGTTTCATTTTGTTTAGCTGACTGCAGATGATGAGGCCTTCTTGTCAGCAAATGCAGGTGCTATACTCAGCCAGTTTGAGAAAGTCTCTACAGACCTTGGTGAGTGCCCTCATATTTCTGAAAGCTGGTCATATACTATTGCTCCAAACTGATGGAGAGTGTGGTCAAAATAATGTAATAACCTTTTCTTGAGCTTAAGAGTCAAACCAGAATTGTTCTGTTTATAAATTCATTGTATTGGTTTTATTTCTCAATATTAAAAATAAATTGGCCGGGCATAGTGGCTCACGCCTGTAATCCAAGCACTTTGGAGGCTAAGGCGGGTGGATCACCTGAGGTTGGGAGTTCCAAGAGCAGCCTGACCAACATGGTGAAACCCCGTCTTTAAAAAAATAATTAATTAATTAAATTAATTAATACAGCCTAATGTTTTTTAAATACTTGTCAGGTAGATGTAAATATAACAATAAACTAAAATTATATGCTTGAGGCCAGGAGTTCTAGACCACCCTAGGCAACATGGTGAGACACTTTGTCTGCAAAATTAAAAAGAAAAAAAGTAGCCAGGCGTAGTGGCATGCATCTATAGTTCTACCTACTTGACAGGTTGAGGCAGGAGGGTCACTTGAGCCCAGGCATGGGCTGCATTGAGCCAAGATCATGCCATTGCTCCAGCATGGGTAACAGAGCAAGACCTGTCTCCCCCACAAAAAATTTTTAAAATAAAATTTTACATATTCTATTTCATAGCTAGAGCTGGAGTAAGGATTTATAACTAATACGTTCCCCTTTATAGCTGGATTGTTTGCGCAGAGGGAAGGAAATGGGGATGGCAATGGGACCATGTAGTGGTTAATATACTGATAATGGAGGCTAATTATATTTTTTGTTTTAACATCTATATGATAGATTTTTTCCCACTTTATCAGGAATTGTAACTGTACTTGAAATAATCTTTTTGTTTATTATGTGTCTTTCTTCTTAGGCTCTGGAGACAAAGTCCTTGCTCTGGCAAGTTTTGAGGTTGAAAAAACAAAAAAATGACATGGTGCAGAAGCTTGTAACATTGATCACATTCTTATTGTAAATGGCGTCTTTCCTCTGGGGGTTTTCAGTTATGCAAAGAAATGAAGAGATTCTGGAAATGCATCAATAACCTAAGAAAAAATGACATAAAAGTATACTTACGGCTTGTGTTTATGCCCTTCATCATTGTGCATTGTGTGGGGTTACCTGCTTACGCGATCCTGAACTTGCTGTGACAGGTTCTCACTGAACTCTACGTGTGATTTGTCTAAAAGAGAAAACAAAGTGGACTTGGTTTTTATTAAGGCTGTTTGTTTTTAAGTGTTGATAGTGAATGAAAAGATGTGTAGTAATGATATTTTTCTGCTTATAACTTATCCCCACTCATTGGAGTGAACAGTGAAGCAAGCTCAGTAGACTTCACGTGTGTTCATAGAATTTTAGAGTTCCAAGGGATCTTAAAAATCATTTCTGTTTTTACAAACAAGGAAACTGAGGTCCAGAAAGAGCAAGTGACTTGCTTAAAGTTACATTAGAGAGCTGATGGTAAAACTCAGGTGTCCTAGCTCCCAGTTTAGTATCTTGAATTTTATTTCTGTACCATTTTATAAAAAACAACACTATTAGTGCAAGTCAGTGTTTTTGAAAATTCAGTGTCCCAATAAAAAGTTGACTGCACATGAAGGGACCATCCCCCAGCCTGTAAGCTGTCTGTATGAATGGGGCCCCTTGTATCAGAATTTTGAGGTTGGAACAATGGGAGCCCTGTTGAGCGTCTCCTAAAGTGACTTACCAGCCTGGTTGTTTCACCAGGGAAGCAATAGGAAATGGCAGCTAGAGGCCCTCCCTGTTTGTGACCTCTTGTCACACTCAGAGGGTGGTAACTGTCAGCTGTTATCTACTCTTCAGTTTTTGGAGAAACACAAAATAAGAGGAAAAGCAGATTTCTCTCCTGAGTATTTACATGTCTCTGCATGCTCAAATATGTGGATATGTCCATATGCATGTATATTAGCTTATTTCTTAGGCTCTGGCCATTTTATATCCTTTCATGTGCTTCTCTTTTTTTTTTTTTTCTTTTTTTTTTTTTTCTTTCTTTTTTTAGCTAAGTATTCTGGGATCATGTGCTCAATATTTTTTCTTTGCACTTTATACGAATTAAAAGCATTTTTAAAGCTTCTTCTATACTGTAAACTACTAGGTGCTTTGCCAACCAGACAGATTAGAGGACCTCAGCTACACTGATGCCTTATTTGGAACTTTTAGTGAGTTCTTTTTTTTTTTTTAAGATGGAGTTTTGCTCTTTTTGCCCAGGCCTGACTGCAATGGTGTGATCTTGGCTCACCACAACTCCACCTCCTGAGTTTAAGCGATTCCCCTGCCTCAGCCTCCCGAGTAGCTGGGATTACAGGCATGTGCCACCATGCCTGGCTAATTTTGTAATTTTAGTAGAAACAGGCTTTTTCCACGTTGGTCAGGCTCATCTCGAACTCCCGATCTCAGGTGATCCACCCGCCTTGGCCCCCCAAAGTGCTGGGATTACAGGCATGAGCCACCTCACCTGGCAGGTTATTTTTTACATATTGATTTATGACTGTCAAAAACTCAGGCTGGGCACAGTGGCTCATACCTGTAATCCCAGCACTTTGGGAAGCCGAGGCGAGTGGATCACCTGAGGTCAGGAGTTCAAGACCAACCTGGCCAACATGCTGAAACCTCGTCTCTACTAAAAATAGAAAAACTAGCCAGGCATGGTAGCGCATACCTGTAACCCCAGCTGCTCAGGAATCTGAGGCAGGAGGATTGCTTGAACCTGGGAGAAAGAGGTTGTGGTGAGCCGAGATCACGCCACTGCACCCCAGCCTGGGGGACAGAGCAAGACTCCATCTCAAAAATTAAAATTAAAAACAAAAACCTCACTGAAATTGTGACAAACCAAGAAAAAGCAAATTACCTGCTATTCATCTAAGGCTTTATGGTCAATCCTTACTTCATTTTTCTGTATTTATTTTAAAGGAGGTGAAATTCATATATCAAGATTCACCATTTTAAAGTGTATAGCTCAGTGGCAGAACACTCCCAGTGTTGTGCAACCATCACTATTCTCTAGTGCCCAAACATTCATATCACCCCCAAAGGAGGCCCTATAGCTATTAAGCAGTTATTCCCCAGTCCCTTGTCCTCTGTCTGCTAACAGCCACTAATCTGCCCCATCTTTATGGATTTACCTATTCTGGATATTTCATATAAATGGAATCATAAGATACGTGGCCTTTTTATGTGTCTGGCTTCTTTCGTTTAGCATAGTTTTTTTTTTTTTTTGGTACAGAGTTTCACTCCTGTTACCCAGGCTGAAGTGCAATGGCACAATCTTGACTCACTACAGCCTCTGCCTCCCAGGCAGCTGGGATTATAGGCATGTGCTACCATGACCAGCCAGTTTTGTATTTTTAGTAGAGACGGGATTTTACCATGTTGGTCAGGCTGGTCTTTTTTTTTTTTTTTTTCTTTTGAGATGGAGTCTCACTCTGTCACTCAGGCTGGAATGCAGTGGCATGATCTTGGCTCACTGCAACCTCCTCTTCCCGGGTTTTTTTTTTCCCCCCCGACAGGAGCTCTTCCCAGGTTTAAGCAAGTCTCCTGCCTCAGTCTCCTAAATAGCTGGGATTACAGGCATGCACCACCATGCCTGGCTTCTTTTTGCATTTTTAGTAGACACGAGGTTTCACCATGTTGGATCTCAAACTCCTGACCTCAAATGATCCACAAGCTTCAGCCTCCCAAAGTGCTGGGATTATAGGTTTGAGCCACTGTGCCCGGATGGTCAGGCTGGTCTTGAACTGACCTCAGGTAATTCACTTGCCTCAGCCTCTCAAAGTGCTGGGATTATAGGTGTGAGCCACTGCGCCCAGTCATCATCATATTTTCAAGGTTAATCAACATTATAGCATGTATCAGTACTTTATTCCTTTTTACAGCTAAATAATATTCCATTGTATGGATACCACATTTTGTTTAATCCAGTATCTGTTGATTTGGGTTGTTTCCTTCTTTTGGCTATCATGAATAATGCTTCAATGAATATTTGTGTACAAATATTTGTTTGAATACCTGTTTTCAATTATTTTGGGTGTATATCTAGGAATGGGATTGCTACATTTGTTTTTTAAGCCATAGAAAATTCTTCCCATCAGCTGGGCACAGTGGTTTACACCTGTAATCCCAACACTTTGAGAGGCCAAGACGGGCAGATCACAAGGTCAGGAGTCCAAGACCAGTGTGGCCAATATAGTGAAACACCATCTCTACAAAAATTAGCTGAGCGTAGTGGTGGGAGCCTATAGTAGCTGACAGGCAAGAGAATTGCTTGAACCCGGGAGATGGAGGTTGCAGTGAGCTGAGATCGTGCTACTGCACTCCAGCCTGGGCAACAGCCCGTCTCAAAAAAAAAAAATTATCTTACTTTAAAAGTGGCCTAGTTTGCGTTGCCCAACAAGACGTTGACAGTCACAGCTGTGTGACCTTTTGTGGGTTACTTAAACTTTTGAGCCTCCTTTTCTACTCAATGGGGATAATAGGACCTACCTCATAGGATTATCGTGCATTCCCCTCTCTTTGTTAATGCAGATATAGTTTTTACCCGGAAAGCTAACACCATTTAACAGCCCTCCTAAGCACCATTGGATATATTTTGTTTCACAAATTTGGTATTCATTCAGAAAAAGTAGTTGAAAAGTGAGTAAATTCTATGCAATTATAGTTATTAAATGACTTATAAACTGTGTTTCTCCCACTTTTTGCTACATTTAAAATCTAGGTGTTCAGATGTCTTTGGAGGTTACAGGCAGCAATAATGCTAAGGCAGCTAACTTTTCAACATTGTTGTGTCAGACTAATATTTTGGTGAAAAGAATTCCTGTATTTCTCAAATAACTAGAGCTGAAGCAGAAATAAGTTTCAATGAGCAAGTGTCCAATTGGGCCACTGAATGAAATCTAGTGTTTTAAACAACTCTGATGTTTCAATGTTTTGTTTTGTTTTCTTTTGATCCTGTGAGCAGTGAGACATATGTTAGGTGGGTGGCAAAGGAAGAAATCCAGTAACAGAATGAGGAATTGTTGCCAGGAAGAGGTGGCGTTGGGACAAATGGGTTGTTAACTGATTTTCAGATCTTCTACTGAAGACATTAAACATAGAATGGTCATCTTTAGAAAAATAAAAGACTATGCAACTCCACAACTGAAATGGTATTTTTTTACAGTGAATGATGGATAATTGGAAATTCTTATAGAAAAAAATCAACCCAGACCATTTTTTCTAGAGCCTTTCACACCTTCCTGTCCATGTTTTTCTTTCTTACTGTGTTTATTGCTAAGACCAATAAATGTTCTTTGCCTCCTAAAATGTTTTTCAGCATTAGTATGTAAATTAAAACTGTGGGCTGGGTGCTGTGGCTCATGCCTGTAATCCCAGCACTTTGGGAGGCTGAGGTGGGTGGACATGAGGTCAGGAGTTCGAGACCAGCCTGGCCAATATGGTGAAATCCTGTCTCTACCAAAAATACAAAAATTAGCTGGGCATGGTGGCAGGCGCCTGTATTTCGCAGCTACTTGGGAGTCTGAGACAGGAGAATCGCTGGAACTTGGGAGGCGGAGGTTGCATGAGCCAAGATTGTACCACTGCACTCCAGCCTGGGCAGCAGAGTGAGACTTCATCTCAAAAAAAAAAAAAAAAGTGTCACCATTCCCACAGAACCCCATGAACAAGTTACAAGATATAATTGCTTCCACTCCATCTGGCCCTAGAATTAAAGCGATTTTAGAAACTGGAGAAACTGAGGCTGGACATGGTGGCTCATGCCTGTAATCCTAGTACTATGGGAGACCGAGGCGGGCAGATCATGAGGTCAGGAGATCAAGACCATTCTGGCTAACATAATGAAACCCCATCTCTAGTAAAAATACAAAAAAATAAAAAACATTAGCTGGGCATGGTGGCATGTGCCTACAGTCCCAACAATTCAGGAGGCTGAAGCAGGAGAATCCCTTGAACCTGGGAGGCGGAGGTTGCAGTGAGCCAAGATCGTGCCACTGCACTCTAGCCTGAATGACAGAGCGAGACTCCATTTCAAAAAAAAAAAAAAACTGGGGAAACTGGCTTTTTTTTTTTTTTTTTTTTTTTTTTAGATAAAGTTTTGCTCTTGTTACCCAGGCTGGAGTGCAATGGCACGATCTCGGCTCACTGCAACCTCCGCCTCCTGGGTTCAGGAAATTCTCCTGCCTCAGCCTCCTGAGTAGCTGGGATTACAGGCACGCACCACCATGCCCAGCTGATTTTTTGTATTTTTCGTAGAGACGGGGTTTCACCATGTTGACCAGGATGGTCTCGATCTCTTGACCTCGTGATCCACCCGCCTCGGCCTCCCAAAGTGCTGGGATTACAGGCGTGAGCCACCGCGCCTGGCCTCATAATTTTTTACCTCATCTTTAATCTGAAAAAATACATATCTCATTAAGATATTTTTGTATTAAGCTGTTTTGGAGAATGATTAAATGGAGAGAAAGTTGGAATACACTACTTTTTTTTTTTGAGACAGAGTCTCGCTCAGGCTGGAGTGCAGTTGCGCGATCTTGACTCACTGTAACCTTCACCTCCCAGGTTCAAGCGATTCTCCTGCCTC